CTAGGTGCAATCCTATCGAACAATATATGTTTAAAAAATATTTATAAATATTTTAAAATTAGCAGCCGTGAATAACCACGATATAAGTAAATATTTAAAAAATATATTTTTATAAAATATTATAATAAAACTTAAATAAAATTTTAAAAAATATATAAAATATAATATATATTAAATTAAATATAAATTAAAATTTAATTTTAATTATATTTAACTTTTAAAATATAAATTAATGTTAATTTTAATTAAATTTAACTTAATAAAATATGAATTAAATTTTATTTTTATTTTTTGTCAGTAGTAGATATTCGCGGGTACGGATAGTATAATACCCGCACCCGACTCGTTTATAAGCGGGTATTAAAACCTTACTATCCGCAACCCGCGGGTAGTAAATATCCGTGGATACCAACTATCCGTCGCGGATTTTATCCGCGGGTACCAACTATCCGTCACGGATTTTATCCGCGGATATCCGCAAGCACGAATTTTTTTGTCATCCCTAGGTCTGAGTTGCATAGAGAAGCATAGAAAGAGAAAAGAGTAAAAAACTTGAGCATTGCTCCTTACACCTCACCTGTCTCACCCTGTACTTCTCAATTGACAGTTTTATTCTTCTTCATTTAATAAAATAATAATTTTTCAACCATCAATAATCTTTAATTCTGTATTTTAATCCTTACATGGACCTCATCTTATTAACAAAATTAAATTTAATATATTAAAGGTTTAATACCTATTTTGGTCCCTCTTTGTGTAGGGTCTGTTCAAAATTGTCCTCCTTGTTTCAAAAGTTCACTAACATCCTATTTCTCGCAAAAACGATGCACGTTAGTCCTTTTTGGTTACGGCGTTAAAAGACTTACGGCACAGCTGCCCAACTGGCCAGGTGGCAAAAAAATGATGAGTTGTATAGTTGTGGTTGACGTGTTAAATTGAATTGCTGATTCATCCTGAAAGTAAGGGATTCATGGTTGTTTTTCCCAAATTTAAAAGCAAAGTTAGGGTTGTTGGTGATTCGTGCTACATTTGTTCTCAAATCTAAAAGCAAAGGTTAGGGGTCTTGGAGATTCGTGCTACTGTTGTTCCCAAATTTAAAAGCAAAGGATTAGGGTTAGAGGATGACTTCATCACAAAGTTGTTCTTCTTGTTCGCAGAAGTTACTCGGAATGAAAAATTCATCACGAACTGCTTCAGGCATCACTTTTTGCTTTTCAATAGAGTAACCAATGGAACACCAAAAATGCACAAGATTGCTTCCTTTGCTCCTATTCTAGTGAATCCTAATGTCCTCACCAAACTTTTCATTATCTCCTGGAATTTCGTTTTTCAGTGCCTTTTTTCCCATCTTTACTCGTTTCACGCTTCTACATTTCCCATTAAAGCAAACAACAATCAACACTGTTAATTCTATCAAAAGAGAAACATTGTGAATTGCAATTTTTTAATCTACTTTTTTAACATACCCCCTTTCCAACACAGACTATAAGTAAGAACACTAACCTCACTAGGACTGACGAACGAACCACGCTCTTCGACGAACCACGAACTTGATTTCACCAATAATCAAAATCTGGACACTTGAAAAGCTGATTGTTGAACCCGAAATCGCGAATTTATTTTACCCCAAATGTAATATCGCTTTAGGTAATCCTAAAATTATTTTTAACCCTATCTTTTAAATTATTTTAAATCATTTTAAATTATTTTATTTAACACATATAATGAAGTCACAGTGCCACCACAACCAAAACTGTACAACTCATCAGTTTTTTGCCAGCTGGGCAACTGTGTCGTTAGTCTTTTTAACGCCGTAACCAAAAAAGACTAACGTGCATCGTTTTTGCGAGAAGTAGGATGTTAGTGAACTTTTGAAAAAAAGGAGGACAACTTTGAACAGACCCTACATAAAGAGGGACCAAAATAGGTATTAAACCTATATTAAAATAGTATTTCGTACATATATGTTTAAACAAATTTAATGTTAAAAATAATATAAAAAATACTAAATAATTATAATATCTAAAATACAAATTCTAAATTTAAAACAAATCAAATAAAAATTTAATTAAATATAACAAAGTAAAAAAAAGAAAAGCAATAAAAAAACCCTAAACCCTAATTCCAACTCCTCGTAGTAGCTCCAAGTGCGGAGTAGCTTCAAGTGGAAGACGGACCGAACTCCAAGTGCGGAGAAGGAGAAGACGGACCGCAGCTCCAAATGCGGAGAAGGGGAAGACGAACTGTAGATCCAAGTGTGGAGAAGATGAATCACAACTCCATGTGCGGCGAAGACGAACCGCGGCTCCACGTGCGACGAAGACGAACTGCAGATCCAAGTGTGGAGAAGATGAACCGCAGCTCCACGTGCAGTGAAGACGAACCGCGGGTCCACGTGCAGCAAAGATGAACTGCAACTCCACGTGCGGCGTAGGCGAACCGCAACCCTTTCAACCGCACTTCCCTGCGTGCCACCTATATGCTCGATCTCTGTCGTCACCCCCTGCTCTAACCGTAGAACCAGAGGCTGAATCCGCATCTCCATCAACGCCCTATTCTCCTCCTTCAACCCCACCACCTCTCTCCAGCACCCCGCCCTATAACATGTTCGAAAAAAAATCTTACCTTTAACAAAACATTATAATTTCCTTCAAAATGTCGTAAAGAAAAAACATTGCAACAAGTTAACGGCGAAGTAGTAGTTTTCCATATGCTTGACTTGATAACCTTAAAAAGAAATGGTCAAAAATAAGGGAGGAGGGTAGGAAGGGAGAAGCTCCAGTAGAGAGAGAAAGAAAAGGGTGTAGGGTTTCAGAGATGAAATGCGGCAAAGAGGAGATGAGAAGAGAAAGGGGTGGAGGATTTGTAAAAATTATTATTTTATTAAATGAAGAAGGGAAAAATTGTGAATTGGGAGGTGCAGGGCGAGACAGGTGAGGTGTAGGGAGCACCGCTCAAAACTTTTTTGTCACCTTACCACAGAGTTAGTTAATACTGTTCTGTCAACTTAACAGAAGGAGCTTGATTGATGCAATTATACCACATTGGGACGTAATAAGTGTTTTTAAAAGTGGGTACTAACGAGACACTAAATGATGAATTTGGGAACTAAGTAAACAATTAAACCAAAAAAATTACTTTGACACGTTTTTACATATTATTTTTTAGTTTTCCAAAAAACATGTCAAATGAGTGTAAGCGTGTTAACATATTATTGTCCAAGTTTGATTTCATTAAGAAATTCCTAGTTCTTCTACTAGCTCAAAACCGTCATAGGACGAATTCTACTATCACGTGAGTCATCAAAATCTTAGGGAAAACATGTCTCGCAAGATACTCAAATGAAAAGTTATCAAAAAGTCACTTTACAAGCATTAACTAATGACCAAAGGTTGCAACTTTCTACCTCGTCATTGACGCTTCGTTTCCTGTGTAACTTGACAACTCTTCATCTCTCACGTCTTATTAGGTCTGACATCTCATGATTCAAACATTTTCATCAACATAGGGATCTATTATACCTATAAGATGAGACCATATAAAGACAATTTTTTTTAACATGGTGGCACAAAATGCAGACACCATAACGATAACAGAAAGACTCAAGTACATGCATGCTGTATTTGGGGGGTTAATGTACCATATTCGTCTAAGGACATCTCAGCCACTGTTACCTAGATGTACTAATCCCTTATGGTGTGACCACATTATGACAACTTGGCTACATATCGATCAACCATGAGTATACCATGTATGACTTAAGACATCTCAACATTTGTGCCTAGATGTACTTGACTATCACCACATGAGTATGCCCTATGGCAGCTACCAAGACCGACAAATGGAAAGCGTTGACTAGGTTCACTAACTCAAGATCGTGATTAATTATAATTAAGCAAATTGATTAATCAAAGACTAATCAATAGCTACTTGGATCATGCCCATTAAAAAGCCTATAATCATAAGTATAAATAACATAGTACAAGCGGTACATTTATTACAATCATTAATTACTGAATTTACTGTCATTTGATGCACTGACTTGAAAATCAGAATACAGAGCACAATACCCATTTGACTTAAAGAGGACAAGTAACTTTGAAGAGAACAAATAACCTCAAATTGAAACTAAAAGTGTTTGAAATTAGATTCTTTTGCAAAATATATTCAACTATATAAAAGCAATATATTTTCAAGAGAATTAAATTAAATAAGAAAAACATCTTATCACATATCTCTTTAAATTATTTTGAGATTTATGGATATCAAGGAAGATTTAAAAAAGTTAATCAAATCCTTAATATAATTATTAGACTTATTATTGTTCATTCTAAAATATGATCATCACTAGTTTTATGTTTGCATGATTTCCGTGTGATCCGTTGCTTATATTCATTTTTTTTCTTAAGATTTAGTTGAATTTATTTATACTTATTTATAAGATCAAATTCTCTTAAAAATATCATAATTAAATATTAAATACAAATGATTTTATTACAATACTTTTAATGTATTTAAAAAAAGACTCTTACTTTTTTCTTCTTATTTGAAGAGTTTTTTTTTCTTTTTTTAGAAATGAATTTTAAATTTAATTTAATTTTACAAAATCAGTTTATAAGATAAATTCATTTATATATTTTAAATTTAAGACTTCCATTATTTTTAAATAATAAATCTTAGTTACATTTTGAAATAACTATTTATAAAGAGTGTAATTTCTTAAACTATAGTTATTTTTTTATTATTTAATTTATATTTATTTTAAAAGATAATTATAACTGTATTAAATTTAATCGAATGTACTTTTAAAGGTATCTAAAAGTAAAATTTCTAATTATATATTTTAATGTAGTAGTTTTGAAAAACAGTTAGTTTTTGCACCAATAAAAACGTAACTTATTTTAGTTTTATAGTTCGTAACTAAACTTTCAATTATTTCGATTTCCTTTTCCTTTATTTTTATTGTGTAAGTTTCATTCCTTCAACTCCAATACTAAAATTTTCGGACCAGCAATTTTTTTCTAAGCAAAAATTAGAAGATATTATTGAGAATAAAAAATTGATAATATTACATTATATACATATATATATATATGAGTGGTTGGTTAGTATAAAATGTTAGTAAGGTCGTGAGCCGATGTAATTGCCTGTAGGGTAATAGTTGCAGATGATAAACATCCAGTTATTGTCACATTTGGTTCTAGCACATCCAACACTTTCTGTCGTGTTCCAAACCACCTGAGTGTAATGCAAGCATTCATCCTTAACACACTTGTTGTTCTTCTCATCATAATTCGGCTTCTCTCCCACCCACATTTTCACCGAGTCTACGCCACTAAATTCACCATAACCCTGCGCCAAGTTCTCCCCATAAGGCCCCATAGAATGCTCAAATTCGCAGGTTTTTTTCTTCGAGTTCACGTATTTCTGTCCATAGGCCACAAGGGTTTCGTTCCATTTCAGTGGTTTAACACCAACCTCTTTACGAGCTTTGTTGTGCTCGTCAAGGTAATCTTTCGGAGAATTCTGTGCGAAGCAAATGCTGCACATTGAGATAAAGGTGAGGATCAACACAAGACTTGATGTCTTCATTGATTTTCATATTGAGACTTCGGTCGAGCACAACATATATATTATTTTAAGGAAAGCAATGCATGGTGAAAAATAAACCATGACGTGTGGACGTAAACATTACAACATTTTGTGTGAATGCAGTGAGTACCTCCTCTTTCGCTCATTCTCTGTCTTTACATTTGATGTACAAATATAGAGAATCTAATTCTCTCTGACAGTGGAAGTCTTCGCAACTAAGAACTTTTCGCTTAACCCACATTGATGAAGTTTACACTATAACATTTACCACGCTTAGCAGTATTTTATCAATTACAATTATTAAAAATATTACTATAGATCAATTTTATTATAGTAACATTTTTCAAATAAATGTTACTATAAATAACGTTAGTAATAATAATATTGTAACATATTTTAAATAAATGTCACTATAAATAAAATTAAGTCGTATTATGATCTGTTTTATAATGATATTATTGCATTATTTATACTTCAAACTATTTGTCAGATTTGAAACAGAGAATTACACTTCTATTTTTCTTCGTTTTTAGGCTTTTCCATATCTAGTCTCCACTGGTATTTAATTCACGCATAAACCTACAGTTCAGTCCGCGGCACCTAGATCTTAATATCAAAACGCGATGAATCTTCGACGGTGCTGTACTTCGAGTTTCATAAGGCAGTGTGTTTGCCATCGTCTTGCTTTGTCTTTGCATTTTATTCAGTTCTGTTTCCATGATCATCTAGGTTAGTATGGGGTTTAAGCATTTTGATGTGATTTATGCAATTGGGATGTAATTGAATATGATATATAAAATGGACTTTTTGCTTATGCATCTTTTTTGTTTGAAACCTAATTGGTTTTCCCTGTTGCGTGTTTCGGTGGTAAGGTTGAAGGTTGGGGAGGTGGTGGGAGCGAGTTTGGTGGTGCGTTTCTGGTGTATACGTTTCCGATGTGTGCGACAGAGGAGAGGGAGCTACAAACTTCACTCTTATCCTTGGATTTGGAGATTTAAGTTTGTGGCAATGAACACTATTGAAGAAGTTGAGAATGCTATGGAGAAATTCAATAGCTATGTAAGTTCTATCGCTTATTTTTGTGTTATGACATTAATAATGAGTGCAATTGGGATTGAAATTGGGGTCGAAAAGTTTGGTTTTATTTTATATTGAGTTTTTCGTGTTCACTGGTTGTGTTTTTGTGTGTATGGATGTTGACTAACCACTCAGGATAAGAGCTAACTAATTCTTGGTTTTCATATGTATGGTTGTTGACTAACTAGTGAGGATAAGAGCTAGCTACATATACATTCTAGAGAGAATAGTGTCTGACCATTGTGCATTAATAGTAAAGACAACAAATACATATTGGGGTCCGAATCCATTTAGAATACTAGATATATGGCAAGAGGCCAATGGATTCAGAAAGGTAGTGGAGGGATCTTGGAAAAACAATACAATTAATGGGCAAATAATGTGAGTCTTAAAAGAAAAACTTAAAACAAGACCTCAAAGTATGGAATAGTGAAGTGTATGGACACTTAGAAACCACAAGGCAAGACATCAGTAGGAGAACAAGTGAGTTAGATAAGATGGATGAAGAGAATATGTTGGATGGTAATAAGAAAGTGGAGAGAAAGGGAGCTATTTAGTCAACTGGAGCTGAGTAATCATAGTCATGAAGCAATGATAAAACAAAAATCAAGGACAAAATGGCTAGAAAAAGGAGACATAAATTCAAGATACTTCCATTCAATTTTGAAGTGGAAGAGGGCAAAAAATGAAATCAAAGGAGTGCAGATTTTAGGGAAGTGATGTGAGGAGCCAAATGTCGTTAGAGGGCGAATTATGGACTTTTTTGAAGAAAGATTGATAGAAAAACCAGATAATAGCATCAAGCTTGATAATATTGAATTTCCAACCAAAAATCTATGAAATCGGTTGGAAGTTATATATCAACTAGAGATAAGATCAATTTAAAATATAGATGTGGGTGAAAATCTCACCTTACAAACCACACAGATTCAGATAAGGAATCAAATGCATTAGGGAACTGCTTATGGACCTGTAGGGAGTGTAAAAGGACTTCAAAGCACACAGACAAAAACATGTCCACTTCTTTGTTTTTTCTATAAGATTTGGTGTAGGATGTTTTGACATCCATAAAAGATCATGGTGCATTGCTTTGATGGATTAAAGCAGTTGTATACTGCTGTGATGAACTTTTGTGATGTTGATTTGTCCCAGTAGTAGCCTAAAGGTTTAAAACATCCCGAAGCACTTGCAAAAGAAATAGTGGTTTGTGCAAGTGAGAATGAAGTAGTGTATGAACTATTCAAGAAGATCAGTGGTGCAGTGATTAATGAAGCAATTAGTAAGGATGAATTTCATATGGACTTGTTGAAGGCAACCAAGAAATAATGTTTATTTGTAGATATTGTGTTTGAGTTGTTTGACACAAAGCATGATAGGATACTTGATTTCAAAGAGTTTACACTTGCTCTCTCTGTCTTTCATCCCTGTGCATCAATTAATGATAAGATTGAGTTTTCATTCCAATTGTATGGTCTCAAACAATAAGGATTTATTCAGAGACAAGAGTTGAAACAAATGGTGGAATGTACTTTACTCATTTGTTCATTAGGAATGAAAGTCGAACAGGATGTATGTATATTCATGGGTAGCACTAGTAACTTTTGGATAGAAATATATTGCCATCATGGCTTGTAGATGTTTCTGGTAAGCTCGAAAGACATCACCTAGCTTAGTTACAGAGCTAAGAATATTTGCTTCAAAATATTATAGGTTTTAGCTTCTGTTGTATATGTTGAATTTATCGTTCCTCACACAATTTTCCAAGTTACAATAATAAATTAATTGAAAAATTATTCTGCAGAGACATTTACTACTAGTTAAATCTTAAAATTATTTCCATTTTTTTTCTTTGCTTAAATATAGTTGATATCCACCGATTATCTTTTAAAGATTATGCTTTAGTTAGTATTTAATTGAGAGAAATGGACAGTGTAAATTAAACTCTCAATTTAAAAGGATAGAAGAAGTGTATGTTCAAGAAAAGGAAAAGCTTCAGTCTGAGCTAGAGGCTTCTGAGAAGAAGTGCAGTGTACTGGTGTGTTTTATCTCTACGGAAATATTTTAGAATAAGTTGAGTAGATATGCTGATATACTATTGAAAATTTCTTAAAACTCTGTTTAGAAGCATGCTAGCTACTATTTGTGTTGGGCGGGAGAAGGAATTTGTATACTTGTGTTTTGTTTGCTGTGTGGCTAGAAGTAGGTAGGGATTTAGGTGAAGTAGAGTTTACACATAAATAGTGACATTCGTTCTTCAATATACAGTGAAATAGTTATCGAGTTATTGTAATTATTTGGTGATGTATTTAGCTTGTTGAGGGTTTATATATTTTGTTTTAATTTGTTCTATTTGAAAAACTTGTATTTTATTTTAAATTTTCTTTGATTGACTCTATAGTTCCTTGATGTCCAGATAGCATTTATTATCTCTGGTTGTCAGATCAGAAAATTCACATGGAAAGGAAAATTATTTTATGACCATACATTTCTGTTTTCTCAGAGACTGCGATGAAGAATAAGATCGATGAGTTGAAGGAGGCTCTATCTGATTCAAGGAAGAAAATTTCTTGTCTAGAAGAGAGAATTGTGAAGGAATAATCAGATAAATTGGTAAGGCTGCCTCCTATCTTTGTTGTGGAATATCTCAAGAAAATTATTTTATTTCCCAATGACCTCTGTTTTTGTGGCTTCAAATCTAGGAAGCGATTAATTCTTATGGTAAAGAAAAGGAAGCCAGAACTGAAGCTTAGAAAGTTCGTGATGAGAAGTCAGCTGAGCTTGAGAAATTTCGGGATGAGAAATCAGTTGCTGAGAAGATGATTTAATGCTATATTCTGTATAAGATTGTTGTAAAATATTGGACTACTGAACTTTACCCCCCAGTTATACAAAATTATTGCCCTCTTGGATAAATTCTGCACTAAAAAGATGTTCATGTTTTCTGCTATTTGAATCCTACAGACTCTCTCCCTCATTAACTGTTCTTTTTGATAGTCGTCTTCTGTTTGATCTTGAAATAGTTAATGAGGCCCTTAAACGGCTTGAAACTGAGAAAGCTGCCATTGTTAAGAGCCTTAGCAATTTAAGAGGCCACTATAAAGCATTGCAGTATCAGTTGGTATCTCTTAAGTGATTACCTAGACACTGATATCTTACCTTATGCTTCTTAAAATGTCATAAGTGAACTTGTTGTGAAGAACCTATTGCATTTTACTGGTACTGTTACCATTAGCATTACCTCCCTGTTGTCACTGGTGGTGGCATCTTGACAGCCGCTCTTCCTTTAATGTTTGTTCCCTCTGTTCTTAAATTTTTTTTAATCTGTTTTTCAGGTTTCACAGGACGAGACTATAAAGCAAAATGAACAGGGCTTGAAAATTGAATCTGAGCTTCTTGGAATCCTAGTGCACCATTTCCCCATTCGTATATTTTCTGTAAGAAATTCTTACTGCTAAGTATAAATACACTTTGATAAAAACTGCTAAGTATAAATACACATTTCCCCATTCACTCATTCTGCAGGTATAAATACACAGTTCTATGTAGGTTGATAACAGGTTTTTACAGAGTTAATATACAATTCTATTCTTTCTTTCTTACCTTTCCTTTTCTCTCTATCCCTGGGTTCTGCTATCCTTGCATAAACTTCTTTTTTAATTTCTTTTCTTTTGTTTAATGATATATTTTCAACAGAATTAAATTAAATAACAAAAACATCTTATCACATGTTTGGACCAGCAATTTCTTTCTCTGCAAAGGTTAGGAGATATTATTGAGAATTAGAATTAGTTTGATCATGTTACAGGATACTCGGGTGTTCTTTCAAATGAAAACTGATACAGTGGAGTTTCTGAGCAGAAGAGAAAAACACAAGGGTTTTTATAATTAATTCATATTCACACACTTCCAAAATTCATTATCATGTGATAGAAAGATTTCAAAAATGTATCTTACTACACAATGGTAATGGTGACATTTAATGATAAGGAAAGTTAAAGCTACGTAGAGAGTGATCAGATATATATATACATGTATGTGTGTGGATGGTTACTAAAAAATGTTAGTAAGGTTGCATCTCGACGTAATTGCCTGGAGGGTAATAGTTGCAGATGACATACGTCCAGTTATTGTCACATTTGGTTCTAGCACATCCAACACTTTCTGTGGTGTTCCAAACCACCTGAGTGTAATGCAAACACTCTTCCTTAACACACTCGTTGTTCTTCTCATCATAATTCGGCTTCTCTCCCACCCACATTTTCACCGAGTCTACGCCACTAAATTCACCATAACCCTGCGCCAAGTTCTCCCCATAAGGCCCCATAGAATGCTCAAATTCGCAGGTTTTTTTCTTCGAGTTCACGTATTTCTGTCCATAGGCCACAAGGGTTTCGTTCCATTTCAGTGGTTTAACACCAACCTCTTTACGAGCTTTGTTGTGCTCGTCAAGGTAATCTTTCGGAGAATTCTGTGCGAAGCAAATGCTGCACATTGAGATAAAGGTGAGGATCAACACAAGACTTGATGTCTTCATTGATTTTCATATTGAGACTTCGGTCGAGCACAACATATATATTATTTTAAGGAAAGCAATGCATGGTGAAAAATAAACCATGACGTGTGGACGTAAACATTACAACATTTTGTGTGAATGCAGTGAGTACCTCCTCTTTCGCTCATTCTCTGTCTTTACATTTGATGTACAAATATAGAGAATCTAATTCTCTCTGACAGTGGAAGTCTTCGCAACTAAGAACTTTTCGCTTAACCCACATTGATGAAGTTTACACTATAACATTTACCACGCTTAGCAGTATTTTATCAATTACAATTATTAAAAATATTACTATAGATCAATTTTATTATAGTAACATTTTTCAAATAAATGTTACTATAAATAACGTTAGTAATAATAATATTGTAACATATTTTAAATAAATGTCACTATAAATAAAATTAAGTCGTATTATGATCTGTTTTATAATGATATTATTGCATTATTTATACTTCAAACTATTTGTCAGATTTGAAACAGAGAATTACACTTCTATTTTTCTTCGTTTTTAGGCTTTTCCATATCTAGTCTCCACTGGTATTTAATTCACGCATAAACCTACAGTTCAGTCCGCGGCACCTAGATCTTAATATCAAAACGCGATGAATCTTCGACGGTGCTGTACTTCGAGTTTCATAAGGCAGTGTGTTTGCCATCGTCTTGCTTTGTCTTTGCATTTTATTCAGTTCTGTTTCCATGATCATCTAGGTTAGTATGGGGTTTAAGCATTTTGATGTGATTTATGCAATTGGGATGTAATTGAATATGATATATAAAATGGACTTTTTGCTTATGCATCTTTTTTGTTTGAAACCTAATTGGTTTTCCCTGTTGCGTGTTTCGGTGGTAAGGTTGAAGGTTGGGGAGGTGGTGGGAGCGAGTTTGGTGGTGCGTTTCTGGTGTATACGTTTCCGATGTGTGCGACAGAGGAGAGGGAGCTACAAACTTCACTCTTATCCTTGGATTTGGAGATTTAAGTTTGTGGCAATGAACACTATTGAAGAAGTTGAGAATGCTATGGAGAAATTCAATAGCTATGTAAGTTCTATCGCTTATTTTTGTGTTATGACATTAATAATGAGTGCAATTGGGATTGAAATTGGGGTCGAAAAGTTTGGTTTTATTTTATATTGAGTTTTTCGTGTTCACTGGTTGTGTTTTTGTGTGTATGGATGTTGACTAACCACTCAGGATAAGAGCTAACTAATTCTTGGTTTTCATATGTATGGTTGTTGACTAACTAGTGAGGATAAGAGCTAGCTACATATACATTCTAGAGAGAATAGTGTCTGACCATTGTGCATTAATAGTAAAGACAACAAATACATATTGGGGTCCGAATCCATTTAGAATACTAGATATATGGCAAGAGGCCAATGGATTCAGAAAGGTAGTGGAGGGATCTTGGAAAAACAATACAATTAATGGGCAAATAATGTGAGTCTTAAAAGAAAAACTTAAAACAATACCTCAAAGTATGGAATAGTGAAGTGTATGGACACTTAGAAACCACAAGGCAAGACATCAGTAGGAGAACAAGTGAGTTAGATAAGATGGATGAAGAGAATATGTTGGATGGTAATAAGAAAGTGGAGAGAAAGGGAGCTATTTAGTCAACTGGAGCTGAGTAATCATAGTCATGAAGCAATGATAAAACAAAAATCAAGGACAAAATGGCTAGAAAAAGGAGACATAAATTCAAGATACTTCCATTCAATTTTGAAGTGGAAGAGGGCAAATAATGAAATCAAAGGAGTGCAGATTTTAGGGAAGTGATGTGAGGAGCCAAATGTCGTTAGAGGGCGAATTATGGACTTTTTTGAAGAAAGATTGATAGAAAAACCAGATAATAGCATCAAGCTTGATAATATTGAATTTCCAACCAAAAATCTATGAAATCGGTTGGAAGTTATATATCAACTAGAGATAAGATCAATTTAAAATATAGATGTGGGTGAAAATCTCACCTTACAAACCACACAGATTCAGATAAGGAATCAAATGCATTAGGGAACTGCTTATGGACCTGTAGGGAGTGTAAAAGGACTTCAAAGCACACAGACAAAAACATGTCCACTTCTTTGTTTTTTCTATAAGATTTGGTGTAGGATGTTTTGACATCCATAAAAGATCATGGTGCATTGCTTTGATGGATTAAAGCAGTTGTATACTGCTGTGATGAACTTTTGTGATGTTGATTTGTCCCAGTAGTAGCCTAAAGGTTTAAAACATCCCGAAGCACTTGCAAAAGAAATAGTGGTTTGTGCAAGTGAGAATGAAGTAGTGTATGAACTATTCAAGAAGATCAGTGGTGCAGTGATTAATGAAGCAATTAGTAAGGATGAATTTCATATGGACTTGTTGAAGGCAACCAAGAAATAATTTTTATTTGTAGATATTGTGTTTGAGTTGTTTGACACAAAGCATGATAGGATACTTGATTTCAAAGAGTTTACACTTGCTCTCTCTGTCTTTCATCCCTGTGCATCAATTAATGATAAGATTGAGTTTTCATTCCAATTGTATGTTCTCAAACAATAAGGATTTATTCAGAGACAAGAGTTGAAACAAATGGTGGAATGTACTTTACTCATTTGTTCATTAGGAATGAAAGTCGAACAGGATGTATGTATATTCATGGGTAGCACTAGTAACTTTTGGATAGAAATATATTGCCATCATGGCTTGTAGATGTTTCTGGTAAGCTCGAAAGACATCACCTAGCTTAGTTACAGAGCTAAGAATATTTGCTTCAAAATATTATAGGTTTTAGCTTCTGTTGTATATGTTGAATTTATCGTTCCTCACACAATTTTCCAAGTTACAATAATAAATTAATTGAAAAATTATTCTGCAGAGACATTTACTACTAGTTAAATCTTAAAATTATTTCCATTTTTTTTCTTTGCTTAAATATAGTTGATATCCACCGATTATCTTTTAAAGATTATGCTTTAGTTAGTATTTAATTGAGAGAAATGGACAGTGTAAATTAAACTCTCAATTTAAAAGGATAGAATAAGTGTATGTTCAAGAAAAGGAAAAGCTTCAGTCTGAGCTAGAGGCTTCTGAGAAGAAGTTCAGTGTACTGGTGTGTTTTATCTCTACGGAAATTTTTTAGAATAAGTTGAGTAGATATGCTGATATACTATTGAAAATTTCTTAAAACTCTGTTTAGAAGCATGCTAGCTACTATTTGTGTTGGGCGGGAGAAGGAATTTGTATACTTGTGTTTTGTTTGCTGTGTGGCTAGAAGTAGGTAGGGATTTAGGTGAAGTAGAGTTTACACATAAATAGTGACATTCGTTCTTCAATATACAGTGAAATAGTTATCGAGTTATTGTAATTATTTGGTGATGTATTTAGCTTGTTGAGGGTTTATATATTTTGTTTTAATTTGTTCTATTTGAAAAACTTGTATTTTATTTTAAATTTTCTTTGATTGACTCTATAGTTCCTTGATGTCCAGATAGCATTTATTATCTCTGGTTGTCAGATCAGAAAATTCACATGGAAAGGAAAATTATTTTATGACCATACATTTCTGTTTTCTCAGAGACTGAGATGAAGAATAAGATTGATGAGTTGGAGGAGACTCTATCTGATTCGAGGAGGAAAATTTCTTGTCTAGAAGAGAGAATTGTGAAGGAATAATCAGATAAATTGGTAAGGCTGCCTCCTATCTTTGTTGTGGAATATCTCAAGAAAATTATTTTATTTCCCAATGACCTCTGTTTTTGTGGCTTCAAATCTTGGAAGCGATTAATTCTTATGGTAAAGAAAAGGAAGCCAGAACTGAAGCTTAGAAAGTTCGTGATGAGAATTCAGCTGAGCTTGAGAAATTTCGGGATGAGAAATCAGTTGCTGAGAAGATGATTTAATGCTATATTCTGTATAAGATTGTTGTAAAATATTGGACTACTGAACTTTACCCCCCAGTTATACAAAATTATTGCCCTCTTGGATAAATTCTGCACTAAAAAGATGTTCATGTTTTCTGCTATTTGAATCCTACAGACTCTCTCCC